TCATCTGAAGAAGGAAGAAGAAATTCATAATGAGAAGAATTTGTTCAACCTTTTGATCAAATCCATCATCAGATGGATTAGCTTTTCCATAGAAAGTTCATAATGAGAAGAACTCATCTGAAGAAGGAAGAAGAAGTTCATAATGAGAAGAATTTATTCAACCTTTTGCTCAAATACATCACTTGATGGATCCGCTTTTCCAGAGGAAGTTCATAATGAGAAGAACTCATCTGAAGAATGATGAAGAAGTTCATAATGAGAAGAATTTGTTCAACCTTTTGCTCAAATCTATCACTTGATGGATTATCTTTTCCAGAGAAAGTTCATAATGAGAAGAACTCATCTGAAGAAGGAAGAAGAAGTTCATAATGAGAAGAACTTGTTCAACTTTTTGTTTGAATTCATCATTTGATGGATCAACATTGCCAGGTAGAGTTCATAATGAGAAGAACTCGTCATCTAAAGAAGGAAGAAGAAGTTCATAATGAGAAGAATTTGTTCAACCTTTTGCTCAAACTCATCACTTGATAGATCAACTTTTCCAGTTCAAGTTCATAATGAGAAGAACTCATCTGAAGAAAAGAAAGTTCATAATGAGAAGAACTCATTTGAAGAAAAGAAAGTTCATAATAAGAAGAGCTTATTCAACCTTTTGAATGACTCTATCACAGAAAGAAAAAGGTCAACATCATCCCCAGCGGAAAGTTCATAATGAGAAGAACTCACCTGAAGAAATAGAAGAACTTATTCAACATCTCCATACTAATCAAGTGAAATCAAATGAAAAAAACTTATTATCTTTTCATCTTTGCTCTATTCTTATTAAGAATAAGCAAAGAGGGGCAGCTGAAGATATTCATTTTTTTCATTTTAATTTTATTTATATTATTATTATTATTATTATTATTATTATTATTATTATTATTATTATTAATATATATTATTTATTTATTAATATTACAAAACCCGTAGCCCAATAATCAGGCCCATATTACAAGCACAAACCATATGAAAACCCTAAACCATTTAGGGTTTCAGTTAAGGTTTTCTAACCCTAACCCCATGTGCCGCCGCCTCAATGGTTTCCAGCCGCCTCAGAAGTCTTCAGCCACCGCCGTTGGTTCCAGAAGGCCACATGTCCGCTGCCTACACTCCACCAATGCCACGAAGCCACCCCGAAGAAGCCTCCAGAAGCTCTGCTGCCACAACCCCGACCGTCCACGTCGCCTCTATGGTGAGTCACCAGCATAGCTTTGGTGACTCACCGAACTTTTCACCCTTCAGACCGGCCCGATGGCCACACCGGTGATGGCTATAAAGCCATCACCCCATCTGCGAACAAAGAAAAAAGGACAGAGACGGAGAGAGAACCAGAAACAGAGAACAAAGAAACAAAAAAACAAAGAACAAATAACCCACAACCAGCAGTCAACAACAACGCAGCAAAAAAAAAAAGGAGAGAATAGAGGAAAGAAACTTACTCTGTCATCGGAGAACCCCAACCGTCGCCGGATACAACGAAAACCGAAGGTACTTTTGTAGATTTGCTCCGATTGAGAGCTTTTTAAGGAAAAAGAACACCGGAAACGGTTTTAGATCGTCCCGATCTATATTTTGGTGTATTTTTGTAATTTCCGGCCACCATTAACGGTGGCCGGCAGCGGTGGCTGACCGGGACGGCTTTCTCTCAGTTTAGAGAGAAGCCAGAGAACTCTGCTCTCTCTCTGTTAGAGAGAGAACAGAAATGAGGAAATGAGAAGCTGGCCCGTAGGGCCAGCCGGTTTAGGGTATTAATACCCTCTCCCAAACGACGTCGTTTTGGGAAGGATATTTCTGTAATTTCATAAAGGGTAAACCCCGTCCGAAGCCATTCCAACTTGTAATTTTTACATTCTAGTCACTAAATCGAGTTTATAATACTTTTAATTCAGATCTTTAATTTTAATTTCATTTATTTTAGTCCTTTATATTAAAATAATATATTTAGGATAAATAACAGATTTAATCTCTTAATTTTAATAAATAATATTTTAATCCCTATTTTATATTTTTAATTTATTTTAATCTTATATTCGAATTTTAGATAAGTTTATTTTAGTCACTAAATTAATAAAATAAAAAAATTGCATTTTTAATCCCTATAATTTTGATTAATTATGAATTAGGTTTTTATTTTTAATTTTACTATAATTTAGTCACTAATTTTAAATGTTTTCATTTATTTTACTGCGTTTAAATATATCGTTCTAATTGTATTTTTATTTTTATTTTACTTGTTTATATATTTAAATATTTTTATTATGTAGTCATAAATATATATATAATAAATAAATATTTATTAAAAAAATTATTTTAACATTTATTTTTCAATATCAAAGAAAAGGACAGTCTTAATACAACTGGATGTCATATTCTGGTATTTTAAAATTAAATATTATAAAAAATATTATTTAATTTAAATTAATATTTATCAATATCAAAGAAAAGAGCTATCTTAAGACACCTAGAAGTCCTTTTCCGATATTTTTAAATATTTTTTTATATATAATTTTGAAATAATATGATTATAAATTAAATATATTTTGAATTTTTAAATTTCTAATAATAGAGACAATTTATAATTAAAAAAGTACCAAATTTGGACGTTGTAGGGGTGCTAATCCTTGCCTAAACATAATCGACCATGAATCCCTTTTTATTATTAAAAAGAACGAATTTTTGGTTATAAACGCGGATCAGTTCATTTTTTTTTAAAATTGATGTTTTCTTAAAACTCTTTTAAAAAAAAATAATTTTTAGGTATTCGACCTACCTGACCCAAAAGGCCGATGGCGACTCCCAAATTATTTTCAAAACCATTTATTCACATCACTTTTACATCACTTTTCCCGTCAAGTAAATATTTCTTGCCCGGACGAAAACCGGTTACGACAGGTGCATCAGGGGCTTACCTACATAACCAAGATGATGGATTTAAATTGCAGTCGACAAGCTCATAATCAATTTTACTGGTGGATACCAACGCACAGGCAAAAACAATCAACGATATGAAAGAGAGAAAAAAAACTCTGATTTGGTATTGCTTTCGAAAAGTTTAGTTTAAAATCTAAACATGCAGTGGATTTTATTATAACTAAACCTTCAATTTTACTAGGTTCAATTGATGCCTGGATCCAAAGGTATGTTGTTCAGCAAAATTGGGCACATTTCATCCTAAGCTATTCTATTGCTTCAAGTCTTTAAAGAATAAAAAAAAAAAGCACCTATTTTTAAGCATCATTCATCACCTCCTAACATTCTCTCCAGCCCTTCATGTAACCTCCAATTGGATCCAAAGGTTATTATTTTCTTGTTTGATTGAATTAATTTCATCATTATAAACAAGTAACAAAAATCAAAGATTACAAACAACAGTCATAAGTGCAGCAACAAACACAAACCCCACATGAGGCAAATCAATACCTTTAAGAATGCAAAGGAATTTATTACCTTATCATGTGCAAAGAAGAGGACCTAGACTTAAAGCAAGGTTATACTATATTCAAAATTTTACATGTATTTCTTCTTTATACAAAACTGAAGCTAATCTTGCATAATTATTTACATTAAAAAAAAGTAACTTTGTTCTTAAAGTCATTTTTTTTATAGAAGAAGAAGATACAAGCATTCTTATAATTGATGAAAAAAAATTTAAAAACATGATTCAACAAGGGGAAGCATGAGTCCGGTAAGAAGTATAAGCTAAGAGCTTTTAAAGACCCAACTTAAACAATGGGTTGTACAAGTTCACTAAATCTGGTTTTGAAAATATGTTCAGGTAATTAGTATCTAAAATAAACAACAATTTAATACACTTAATTATTGTTATATTAAGAGTTTGAATAACTTCTATATGTTCTATTTTAATTAGAGATCTTAACAATTGAATTATGGAATTTGATATTGTTATAGTATCAAGTTATTACTTTTCCAAAAATCTTTGCTAGAAATTCTGAAAATGCAAAGATTTTTGAAAAAATAATAAATTTGATGTTAACATAACAATATCAAACTCTACAATACAATGAAAGACAACCTGTTTTAAAAAATCAAAAATAATATCATAATAGAACATACAAAACTATTCAAACTCTTAATTTTAGAATAATTTAGAATGTATTAAAAAGTATATTTTTAAAGGCTAATTATCTAAATATATTTTCAATTCAAATTTGAACAACTTCCACTACTTGTTCTTAGGGTCATGTTATGTAACATTTTCCATTCAACAATATAATACTTTTATCTTCTTCTTCCATCAAAAAAATAAACTTTAACAACAAATTTACTTTTCACTTTTTTAAAATGATATTATACAATATTACTTCATAGTTTATAAAGAAAAAAGGATGTATCAATATTTGTAGAAGTTTTAAATAAGAAAATCTTGTACAGCTTTACACTAAGCCTAATTCCTTTTCTTCTTTGCAAGTAATAAGATAAACAATTCATTTTCAATCTAATGGATATTGTTTTACCTCATGTGGCTGTTGCAATGGTCATGTCAATTTCCCATATCATTACTACTGTGATAGATTGTTATTTTTGACATCTTTTTTTTTCTTGAGAATTGTCTGCAATAAGATTTTAGATAAAGAGGAAATTAATAATAGACCACATAATCATCAACATTCACAATCATTATATATATTTTATTATCATATTATTTATGTTTGTCATTTATGAAATTTGGTATTTGTATTTTAAATTCAAAAATCATAATGCTTATATCTTCTATTTATCATTTTTTCTAATATATTATATAGAATTATTAGATAAAATTTGTTCTTGTAAACATAAGTGATGTATCAATTATTGTAGAACTTTCAGATGAAAAACTCCACAAGATTTTTACAATAAATCTAGTCCCTTTCTTTTTTATTTTCTAGTGATAACATAATCAATTGCTATACATTCTAAAATTCTTTAAACAAGTACTTTAGCTAAAAAAATCATTTTACCTCATATTGTGATTGTTGTAGTGAGTGTGACAGCATCTGTTGCTCATGTTATTGCTGCAATGATAATTGTCTTTGTCATTGTCATTGTTTTCGGCCTCGTCTTTTCTTGCCATTATTTTCTAAATTCATTGCATTCAACTGGATTCCTGGAATTTGCTACAGCAGAAGAGACATACACATAATCATGTATATGGAAATAAGCATAGCAATAAATGGATCCACATTAAAGAGGAATGAAGAGACATACAAACAGTGCTTGTAATTTTAAGGATCACTAAAAACTGATCCAGTTTTGCAGGTTACTGATATATACATATATTCCATCTGAGACCATACGCAACTCACATTCCTCGAATCATTTACCCACTTTTTCAGTTAGTCCCAATTGAGATTTAAGGCAACTGAGAGTCCGTTGTGCATCACAGATACTGATCGAGTTATATGGGGCAGAGGGCGGCTTAGAAGACCATAATTTTGATGGAAGCGCGTGCAAGGAGTGAAGACGAAAATCTGATTTGTAGGGCAATACAGGTGAGAAGTCCTGGAACCGGTTGGATTACGGACAAATTGTGGATAATTGGCTTTGTGAGCTAAACTAGTGGTTCCATAAAAGATTTCATGTTGTTCACATCTTCTTTTGTTTCTGTATGTTTCTGTGGTTTAAAAAGCTTCCACATCCCGACTGGATGCCTTCGTTTAAGACCAGTGCCTTCAGCAAACCTCCCAAACATCTTCTCACATTCCGGATATGGTTTGACATACAAATTATAGAATCTAAGCCTACTTGGCTTTATCAAACTCTTCAACCCCACATCAAATTCCAGAGCACCTTTTGATCTCAGATACTCAACAACATTGTATCTAGGAATGATCTGTTTTTCAAAATTGGCACCCAAATATTCTGGAACTTCAACTAAACTACCAACTCCATATTTCATCCTATGCACCAAGAACTCGATTTTCTTCTCAATCTCTTCTATTTCATATAAAATCAATCTTGGCTCCTTCCATAGGATCTTAAATGCTTCTCTATGAATCAACCCCTGTTTGCACAAGCAATCAATCCTAAGCTTCACTTCAAACCCAGCTCTGAATTCGCCTTCACTAAAAATCTTGTCTTTAATAGGAACTCGGCATTTCAATGTTTTCAACAACCCTAAACACCTCGACATTTCCCCTAATTCCATGCCCAAAACTCTTGGATCCATTGTAATCTCATCCCTAATTTCATCTTCACTAAAGCCCAATTCCAAAAACTCACCAAGCAATGGCTTCAACCTATTTTCAACATCAAATCCTAAAACTTCAGGAAAATAATGAAAAACCCTTTCAATCCCGTATCTTGAAATCCCAGTTCCTTCCAAAAACCCAATCTTTTCACAAATTTCATCTTCATTCATCATGATTATCCTAGGAAACCTTTCAAACACCCTAGTCAAAACCCCTCCATTAAACCCTAAATCTTTCAAAAGACTAACACGGTTCAAAAACAAATCTGGGTCTATCTGAAACCGCTTAGAAAGAGCCAAAACACTGCAGATCGCCACTGGAGAAATACCCGAGTCCCCGAATTTAGAAATCCCAATTTGCCATTTTTTCAAAAAGTTAAAATCCAGAACAGCTGGACAATCGAATAACAAAGAAATAAAGGAAGTCTGAGGGATTTTAAATGATAAAAGAATGTTTAGAGAGTTCTGGATATCGTGAACATTATAGTGATCGAGTAAAAAATGTTTTTTTGCAAGAAAAGTGTGGAGTTGAGAGGGTGAAAGCCCATACCTTTGAAGGAGATTTGCAAGACAAATCTTGTTCCTGAATTGGGAAATTTTGTGGGGAACTGTGGAAATGAATTGGGTCGACGATAATCGGCAGAAAATTTTTGCTTTGGTTACGGAACTGATAGCCATGGCTTATTTTGTCCTACGAAGTCTTGAAGGTGAATTTGTAGCTGTTTGTTTAAACATTTGAACGAGTAATACAATTTGGTACTTAATTTTAGTTTTAATGTTTAATTTGATGTTTAATCTATTTTAATTTGAATTAGATGCTAAACTAAGCCTCAATGTTATAGTTGGTATCTATAATTTTTGGGTAAACTACATAACTGGTCCGTTTTGTTTTTGGCCTTGTTTATTTTGGTCATCGGTTTTGAAATAATTACATTCTGATCACTTTTATTTTTTATCTATCTTATTTTGATCAGTCATTAATTTGATAACGTGACATATTAGTAAAAATGGTTAAATTTTAGCTTAACAACTTAATTTTATATAGAATATTAATTTGATCATAAACTTTATATAAATTACTAGTTAACCCTTTAACTTCATAAAACATCAATTTAACGTCTAAATCTAATTGCACCCATAGTTTTTTAAAAAACGCTGGGGATCATAAAGAAATACCTCTAACGTCACAGTTGAAGTGAGGAACTAAAGGTCCATTTAGGTACGTACTTTTGTAGCTTTTCAAAGAGGCGCAAGGCACACCTCCTCTAAAGCCTTAAGGATTATGTATTCATCGTTCTTTTATTCAGTAGTGTGAATAAATTGTTCCACATGTCAACTGTCTACGATTGTAGAGGCAAAAGTAGGTGTATGATTTGCCACCTTTGACACTTGTCCATTTGGACAGAAGCAATCAGTTACAATTTAAAAGTTTAAGTTTTAGACGTATCAAAACTCAACTCGAGAGAGATGGAGAGAAGTGCTTTAAGTTTAATTTATATGGGTCTTTGACACTGGAGAAAAGACGAGCAGTGATGTAAAGAATAGAGCGTGAAAGGAGATTAAGTGCTTTAAGTGTGAATCAGTAGATAATAGGTTTGGATATACTCCAATATTAATTTATAAATTCTTTAGCATAAAAATATACCTTGCCTATAAAAAAACACACGTATCCACATTGCACGTTGGTCTAGGCTCTAGGACCCTTTACATGCACCTTTTAAAACTAAGATTGGACAGGAATTTGTGTTTTCTCAAGAAAGTTTTCAAGCGGCAAAGCATCCACATAGAGAAGACAGGGTTCTTCCTGTTGAAGCCGGTTACAGGAAAAGGGTGCAAAGAAATGGTAGGGTTGGGTGCTAGGGGATGGAGGTAAATGGGTTGTTACGAGCACATCCATAAGTTAATGGCACACTGCAAATTTCCAAGAGAGCTGCCAACTGTTAACATGCTCACTGAGGAAAGCTTAGATGCTTGAAAGTAGTCTGCTGGGTTGATCTAACTCATTATTATCATAATTAGGCTTTATATTGATGCTTTTGCAGGAAGAGAAGGATAAGAAAATACAGGATCTATACGAGATACGACGCGAAAAAAGAACGGTCCGATGTATTTCAACGGAAACTACAGATGATTCTCAAAGATATTGAAGAACATGTTGAATTCATGTCGGTTAGGGTTGAACTCAATGATCATAGCCTTAACTAGCACCAACACCAGTGATTAAAACAGAATTATAATGAATAGGTACTCGTTACTTGGAAAGATAACACGAATATTATTAAAACAAAAGAAAAGCACTTCTTCCTCGTTCAAATATCATTCAAGCAAATCAAACAATTAACTTAATGAGAATGGGAAAAATCAGAAACAGAAACAACAAAAACACCAAATCCCCAAACCAATTTTACAAGCCTGAAGAATTGTCATCAAATCTTTGGTGATAAAATTGTTCCCATTGCATCCTCTCCCTTCTTCAAGTTATGCACCCCATTTTTGGGCTACGAAGTCGACAAGTGGCAGCAACCCATTGGCACTGATGCGCTCCGTTGAACCAATGTAATGCAGCAACGAGTCAAGGCCGGAGATGTCACAAAGCTTATGCACAATCCAAAAATAGAACCCTAACTTGAGAGTTGAGAGTCAAGCCATGGCACCAAAGCCACCTGCTTTCATCATTTGCTTGAACTCCATGAAATTAACCCTACCATCCCCATCTGTATCTACTTTCGTTATCATCCTCTTGCAATCTTCCATCGCTTTCCCTTGCTTAAGTCCGAGAGCATCCAAAACAGACTTCAATTCATCAACTGAAATGTAACCATCCCCGTTTTGATCGAAAACGTTGAAAGCTTCCTTCATATCTTTTTCTTCATCCTTATTTTCCATAATTGATTGATACAACTCGGTGAATTCATTGATGTCGATACACATATCACCATTGACATCAAACCGTTCGATCATTTGCACCAAGTCAGTATCGGAGATAGAGACGCCCATATTCTCCAACGAATCAGTCAACTCTTTCTTCGTGATCGCTCCATCCCCATCCTTGTCGAACATCTGGAAAATCTTCTTCAAATCTGTCACGTCCATTCTTTTCAGAGGTAATGCCGCTGCGGTCGCTAGTGTCGGTGCCGGAGACGTGTGTACCCCGACTTGACCGCTGGCGGAGACGACAGTGGAAGCGTGGGTAGGATTAATCCGAGAACGAGAGAGGAAGGATTTGAGTTTCTTGGGGACCAAATAATCTAAAACGAGATTGTATATGAAGAAAATCCGAAAGAAAATTGTTGGCATTGAGAGGAACAGAATTTGAGTGGTGGAAAGAAAATTTAGGTGCAAAATGGGAGGAGAAGTGAGAGCCTTTAAAATGGGATGGTTAGGCGTGACATTAAATAATTAAAATAAGGTTTGCATTAAATTAAATAATTATGTAATAAGGTTTCAAAAACGCGTTGTTCTGGAATTAAATAATTGGACCCCATTGATAACGGATCTTAGGACAAAAAGGTAAAGAAAATGTAAAGGAAAGCGCCAATATAAAATGGGGAACCGGCTTATGATTTGTGACCGTTGGATTGCTATAATTGTCTCTCTTTTTTATTTGAAGCGGTAATATTCGTCTAAATATTATTATCAACCAATTGATTAAAAACGTTTATATTTGTATATATATTGTATTTAAATTTAAGATCTTAAGAGATAACAATAAATCTCTTAATCTGGGACGATTAGTTATTGCGTACGTTTTTTTAAATGTTTCTTTTTTTGAAATAGGGTTTTTAAATGTGTTTGTCTCTAAAGTATACTTTTTTTAATCAAATTGTTCTTTTAAATTTTTTAAAGACGTTTTATTTCCTTAATTTTAAAACGGTATTCAATTGATTTAATTTTGGGTAAACTACATGTTTAGTATTTCAACTATCACTTTATTCTATTTTAGTCACCCAGCTATTTTTATTTCAAAATCATACCTAACATTACGTTTTAGTTTTATTATGATCACTCATCGTTAAAAATTAACTGTGATACTGATCTGTTACCATAAGATAATGCCACGTTGTCATTGAAAAAATAAAAAAAATGCCACGTAACATTAGATATGAATTTGAAGAAATAATAGTTTAGTGATTAAAATATAATAAAAGTAATAATTAAGGTATTAAACATGTAGTTTAGCCTTTGAGTTGTTTGTTTACTTGAGAATGATTAAGTGCTAAATGATTCAAATGCTGAATGATTCATAGGATCTGGATGAATTAGATCTGAATGTGACATGCTGTTTGTTTACTGACTCTGAATCATTCAGAATGTACTTCTGTACTGAATCATTCAGCACTGTTTTACTGAATCAATCAACACTGAATCATTTAGATGTACGAAACACACGCACTAAATGTTAAACGATTCAACATTCAACACTGAATAATTCTATTAATAGATAAACAAACATCATCTTAGTGTTTTAAGGTTCGTTATAATAGAAATGGGCAGTCGATTAACCTTTTTACGTGTGGGGACGTTGGTGTGTTTTTTAAGGCGGTTGACGGTCGATCAAAATTACTGGAATTAGTCAACGATGGCCCTAACTGACCAACTCTAACGTCCAAATTATTTATTTTTTCGTTGAACTATTTCAAAATAGGTGGATGAGTAAAATTAGATTCTATTTGAAATATTTTTTTTTAAATTTTGAAATATTCAAGTTGAGCTATTCAAATTAATTGAGTTAATATGAATTATCAATTTGATTTTTAAATTCGAATTGTGTTGAAGTTTCAAAATTTCGAGTAACTCCGATTTTTATTTATTTTACTAAATATGTACTCTCTATTTTTTAATATTGTTCTTTAACTTTACATTTAACTTAATTTAATCTTTTGACTACAATTGTTTACGAATTATTTCTTTAAATCAATAATTTAACTTCTTAACACTCGCATTAATCTTTTATCCTCAAAATACATTCTTTAAAATGTAATATTATAAATATATTTTATTATTTCAAATTGTATGTAAAATATTAAATAACTCGAACTATAATACTATAAATAATTACAATTAAATTTGTATAGAAACTCGAATAACTCGACTCGACTCAATTTCTTAGACTCGAATCGAAAAATTTCAAATTAAGTTTGAGTCATAAAATATCACTAATCAACTCAAATAACTCATAATTTTTTTTACTTAACTTAACTTGACTCAATCGAATGCTCAACACTACTAATAGAGGTTAATTATAATATTTGCGTATGAAATATTATAATTATAATATTAAATTAAAAATTATTTTAATATTTATATAATTGATTTAAATGAATTAATATTTTATTTAATTGTTTGTATTAAAAAATATAAAATTTAAATTTGATGGTCTAAATGTTTTTTCCTTTATTTTGTTCTCATGCCAAACCATCGTGAGTGTGACATGCTTAATTTATTATTTTCTCTACTCCACGTGTACCTCAACTAAGTTATCGGTTGAATGGGTTATGGATTCATTTTATTTTGTATTAAAATATGTTTAATTATTAATTTGCTGAATTTGAAATATAATGAGAATTCTATTAATTATACTTTTAATATATAATTATATATATAACACTCTTAAACGGATTCTTGAATATTTTTCACTAAGGATAAATACATATTTTAATACTTGAGTTTGGTATTAACAATTAAAGTACAATGTGATACTTCTCATAAAAGTGTAATTTGATATTTAATTTTTTAACTACGTATTTAAATTTAAAGTTTAATTCGATATCTCAATTTATTTTTGATTTTATACAAATATATGATCTTAATATTTGAACTATACTTTATATAAATATAAATATTTTAAATATAATTTTAAAAACTAAAAATATAATACAAATTGATTCAGACATAATTATTGTGGCAAAAGCCAACAATGTAGCGTTCCTCTACATGTTCCCCACAAATTATGTAATGGATATGGTATTAAGCTTTGGAGATTAAAAATTGTGTTTATTTTAAAATGATTAAGCGTTGAATGATTCAAATGTTAAATGATTCAGAGGTTTTGTATGAATTAATTCTGAATATGATATGTTGTTTTATAATGACTCTGAATCATTCAGAATGTACTTTAATGTTGAATTATTCAATACTGTTTTACTGAATCATTCAAAAGTAAGAAACAAACACACTAAATATTGAACCATTCAGCATTTAGCGTTGAATTATTTTATTCAGATCCAAACAAACAGTCCTTAGCTTTCATAAAAGAAAAAGCAGACTTTAATTTATGACCCTACCCTACCCCCTACCCCTACTCCTACCCCTACATAGTTGGCTTTCATAAAAGAAAAAGCATACTTTAATTTCTGACCCTAACCCTACCCCTACCTTCTCCCACTTTTATGCTGACTCACTGCTAAGTCGGTTCAGCTCATAATTTCATTTTTATACAGAAAATGAATTTTAAATTTATTAGACTTCAAAAAAACTTGTAAATTTACTGATTTAAATATTAGATTTGAGTCGGTCCATATAGCAGGTTGTTTCAAGTATTATATACACCAGGTTTATCAATATGTTTGTGATTGATCGGTTATGATTATTAGAATGATTTCCGGTAAACGAATATAATTGAATAAGAAAATAGAAGATATTAAGATTTATGTGAATTTTTTTTTTAAAAAAGGGACATGTATGGAGGGGAAGAAAATTTCACTATGTCAAAAATATAAGATTTATTTCATTGGTTATTTTACAAAACTCTAATCCCTACTTTATATTTATAGAGATCAAACATATTATATTGCTTTGTACCTTCGTGGGAAAGTCGAGAAAAGAATTAGATCATAACTCATTCTATACTTTCAATGAGTTTATCTAATCGTCAAATATAAATCATATATATGTGCAAAAGAAGTTAAGCATAGGCAATTTATATTTTTTTAAAAGGGTAAATAGTATCAATAATAAGTTTATTTAATTTACGTGACATTAAATTTTTTAAATAAAATTAATGATGGAATACCATTTTTATAATGGACATCTGTAATATCTAATTTGATTTGATCGATTAATAACTCAAATATTGAGTTAACAATATTTTAGTTTTTAAATATACTTTATTATCACTTTGGTATTTGAATAATTTTTTATTTTAATTTAATTCTTGAAATTTTATTTTATGAAACATGTTATTCTATTTTGTTTTTATATTACATAAAAAAGTTACAAGACATTCTAGAACATATCACGTGACACATAATATATATTAAACTCGAAAAAATTATATTTTCTAGAGTATTATTTGAGTTTTTTTGTAATGGAAGAACATAATGGGATAACATGCTTCCTGAAATGAAAGTTCATGGGTTAAATTGAATAAAAAAATCAGCTACCAAAGTGATATTGAGATATAATTTTGAAGATTAAAATATTATTTAAAATCAAAACTTAAACCCTAAACTTTAAAGTAATATCTCAAAGACTTAATTTTATAAAAATTATTTTGCAAAAGAGATAAATGAATCATCTACATTAAACCTAGATTACCAATTATTAGTAACTGTAACGAGATAAACGATAGATCTCTTGAATAACATTTATGAGATTTGAACTATAACATTTTAAATAAATTAAATTAAATTTAAAAGGTTATCATTATAATAAATTTATTATAATATCTGTTCATAATTAATGACTATAAAAAGTAAATAAAACCCAGATTCAATTTGGGATAATGTAATAGTGCAAGTTACTTTACTTAAATTAGAAGCCGTAATTAAAAAATACGAGATTCTGAAAAAGGGTTGACATAAGAGTGGAGAGTTGAGTAATAGGCAATGAAATGGTCCATAAAAGAGAGACAGATTAGAAAAATAAAGACATCTTATATCTGTCTCTGAGCTGGTCTCCGGCTGTCTTCGATCTTCACACTCTTCCGCTATTTGAAAAAGGCTGCTTCGATCTATAAGTGTTCCTTCAATCATGGCTTGGCACACGCTGCCATGAAGGTCATTTCAAGGATTTTATCTACCTAAAACAAAACTTTTTAATTTTATATAAATTTAAGATTGCTGAATGATTAAAAATAAATAAATAAGATTAATTTTATTTTTTCTAATAAATATCTTCTTATTTTTTATTATTAATTTTAATTATTTTTTTATTCATTTAACGATATTAAATATGTATAAAATTAAAAAAAATTATATTATGTAATAAAATATTATTGCTGTTTTATATTTTTTTCTATTAAAAATCTGTTTAAAATTTTGTCCTCTTCTAAAAATTTAAAAATTTAAAAATTTATCTTCTAACATAAAATTTAGTATCTATTCTAGATCATTCAGTTTTTCTTTTTTGGCG